TGCTTAATATTTAAAAAAAATTACAAAAAAAAAACGTGCACTCATAATTTAATTTTTATGGAGAACTTTTTATGTGCGTGCGCCCGGGCACCAACTAAATGAGCACTGTGTGCCTAGCTGCAGCCAACGGCTCTCGCATTACGCATTTTTTCCCCCCTTCACTACAGCCAGTGAGGAACTCAAAAATATTTAATCCACCTCTCAATTTGATCGCGTATCTTGGCCCACTCACTTGCTTACGGTCTGTTCTGTCGCTTTTCTTAACAATGCGGGCCTTTGTTGGGTCCAGCCCTACAGTCGCCCTTTGTACAAGCCTACAGGAGAACGTAGCTAACAGTATCGTTCTAATATTATCCTTCCAGTTAAAATTTTGTGAATTAACCGCATCTTGCAGCGGCACAAAAGAATATAACATTCATCCAAAAATTGCACTTGTCAGTATTAATCGTGGTGGCTTTACCATCACAAGCCAAGGTAAATTTAATTTAACAATAATCCATCGGCATGCAAATATTTGATTTAATTTAATTTATTGTTTTTTTTGTCTGGATAGCCCCGTTAGTGCTGCCGGGTATATCCTCGAATTCGGCCTGTGTGGGATTTGGATTCTAACGTTTGACGAGTCTCGACCCTACACTCACACTCCCGGGCCCACAAGTTCAAAACGGGGTCCAATAGTTACTAGCATAGCAGTCCCTAAAATTTTTGCATCTTCCGGTTGTGGATGCGTCGTCAATTTAATCGCGCACCCTGCAGGAGAAGGGGACGAATGGCCTCGATAAGCTCGTCCTTAGGGGGCCTCTATCGAGTTCTGCTGAGGTAATTCATCCGCCCTTAGCTTTCTGTTGAGAATCTTGCTTGAATGAGACAGTTCGGGATCAGGACTTTTGTTTCTTTGTTGTTGTTGTTGTTGTTGTGAGTACAATTGAGCTCAATCTATGCGATTCTTGATGAATCTGCCGGTTTCTTTGCTCGTCCGGCGTAATTTAGACCGTATCTTCGATTTTTCTTGAAATGTTCATGATTACTTCTCTCTCTTTCAGATTTATGTAGAGAATCTTGGTGCAATGGGAGTTTGGGATTCGGAGTTTGTTTCTTTTGTGTTGCTGCGAGTGCGATTGAGCTGAATCGATCCGTGCGATTCTTGATGAATCTTTTGGTTCATGTGCTTGTTTGATGTAACTTAATAATTAGACCATGCTTTAATGTTCTTGAAGTGTTCATATGCTCGTCCATGATTGATTCCTGGAGATCTTTCTGGGTGCTGGACCATATATACCAGGACACAACATGCCACGTCGCTCAATTTCTTGAATTTTTTTTAGTCCCACGTGAGATGATCTGGTGATTCTTTGAATTTTAACCTGTTATAATTACGTCAGAAATGTTGTTGTTTTTGCTGTTGACAACTTTATTGGTTTACTGTATTCCTAGACTCATGGTACTAAGATATATTTTTCTAACTAATAATAATGATATAGTTTGTATCTAGAAGCATGCAATTAAAACATTTAAAACACTGCAAATGTGAATTTTGTCCAATTATGGTTCCTTAGGCAAGTATCATTGATGAAGTATCAATGAATGATGACGATATGTTGTATTAAGTTTCATTGAGAACCATTCAGAAAGAAGGTGGTGAAAAATAAGTATTAGTACAGGTAGGGGAATGTTGAAGTCTCTTGGAATTTTCAGATTTAGTTTAATTTTATTAACAACCTTTTCTACTTATTTACTTGTTATATCACTTGCGATGACTGAGAACAGGGAACTTTATACACTCACCTTCTTAGGGATTAACAACAGGCGCATCCACTGTAGTAAATTTGAAACTAGTCACCAGGAGAAGTCACGTTTCTTTTTCATTTTCTTTGTTATCAGGCACTAAATAAGCATGCCCCGCAATCCCCAACACCCCCTCGATAGCAAAACATTAATCCCCTTAATGAAAATAAACAACAACTAAAATTCCTCTTACGTTTAATAACTTAGTATGAACCTAGTCACATAAACGATAAACAACTGTAGAAGTCCCTTTTTGCAAGATTTACAAGCTTCTTGACAAAAGATAAGAGATAAAAATATTTTCCTTCTTCACATTTCCTAATTCAAAGCGATTCATCTAATGACCACAATGCGTAAAGAATCTGATAATGGTAAGTGTTGAATCTTGTCAGTGGTTTCCCAATCATTTATTTATTTTGGAGCGCAGCGTAGATTATAGATTTTTATTGATATCGTCATATCTCTTTTCAGATCTATCTACATGGTGGTCATATTACGTCTTGGAAAAACAACTATAGGGAGGAGTTACTCTTTGTCAGCAATAAGGTATAATAATTGCTTTCTTTACTTAGATGAAGATGACCTGTTTCTGGTTTAAATCATTTGTTTGGACTGGAAAGTGGCAGATTATATGTTTATCGTCTGTTTGCCTATTTCATATCCAAGGACGGGTCAAAAGGGGAATACCTTTCCATTTAAAATCGACATTTTGAATTATTGCATGATATTTAAGTAATGGAGATATAGCTGTGGTGCAAGCAAATATGGAAGGGAAACTATATGCTCTCAGAAAAAAAAGAAAAAAAAAGAAAGAAAGAAGGGAAATCTGATAGTGAATATCCTTCTTTCATTATTTCATAATTTCCAAGTCTTTTGTTTTTTTTAAAGAACGAAATTCTTATAAGGTCTAATGTCCAAAGATTTTCAGATATTTCACGGCTTACAGAATCTTACTTTTAATTCTCCTGTATGATGTTATTTGATCTGTTGTTTGGTTGAACGCTCTTTTTTTCTTTGCTTGTCACATACATCTTATATCTTCCCTGTTAATTTTCTTGTTGTATTCATTTATCAGGTGCTACTGTACATAATTTCTTATTTTGTTGGGAAACCTAGACACGAATGCTAGGTTAGACTGGATCTCTTCAATTCAACTTGGGCGAGGTTTACTTATCACATTGAATTTACAGAAATTCATCTTTCATCATGTCCAACATGATATCTTCTTCCTGCTGTGGACTGAAGTAACGCCAACAGTACTGTTTCTCTCTAATCATAGTTTGCTTTTTATGATATCATATATCACTTTTTGATTTCCACACTAATTTCTCATTAAATAGTAAATGCCCTTTATTTTTGTTACTCAGCTTTCTTTTGTTGCCTTTCTAGGCTATTTTCAAGCCTCCGAAAGCAATACGTGGGGGCATCTCAATATGCTTTCCTCGAGTATGATCTTTCAATAACTAGTGTTTTGCCCCTCCTCCGGATATGCTTTGTTTTCCTCACAAATGACCTCATTCCACCAAACTAATGTGCACATGCAGTTCGGGACACATGGATTTCTTGAACAACATGGTTTTGCAGCGAACCGTACATGGAGCATTGACACAGATCCTCCATCTCTTCCATCAGACAGCTCCAGTACAACTTTTGTTGATCTGATTCTTAAGCCGTCTGAAGGAGATCTCAAATTTTGGCCTCACAGGTTTTGCTCATTGGTTGATATTTGACATATATAATTATACTGCTAATGCTTCTAATGTTGTCCCAAGAACAATCTTAGATATCTGAATCTAAATAATCTTCAATCACGGTAACACGTAATTTAGAACCATTAACTTCAATTGATATTGGAGAAAAGAGGTTGTACACAAATGTCCTGGATGTAATAACATTTTTAAAGAGCTGACCAAACTGAACCAGTAATTTATATCAGAATACTTTACCAAGCAGTGGTTCCAGTTTTACTCCATGGGTGACCATTTTTTTCCCCTTCGGATGTGGCCTCCTTGAGATAAGATTTAAAATGATATGATCTTAACAACCCAATCAAGTGGTCAACGACGAATAAAATATTCATCAGAAGACTATCACTTGTGAGTACTAGATATTGGACGTGGAAACCACATTGGCCCCAGAAGTATTGTAACTTTGTTTCATAGATGCAGTTTACCTCCACCACGAAATGAATGTGGAAGCTGTAAAGTAAGAGGTGTACTATCATATTATTGATCTCAAGTATGCATGTAAAAGTTGTGTATTCCTGTCTTCTTAATAAATAAGAAGCAACACTTCTATGCATATTAGAAAGTTAGAAACTGCATCTCACAGTATCGGTTCTGTTCCATGCAAAAATAAGGCTTTCTTTTTAAGGACAGTGACTCTAATGACATTTCTAATTTGTGTTGCAGTTTTGAATTACGTCTAAGGATTACTTTGACGCTGAAAGGAGATTTGAAAGTTATTTCACGCATTAGAAATACCAACGCAAATGGGAAGCTGTTCTCATTTACATTAGCGTACTACAGTTATTTTTTGGTTTCTGATATCAGGTTTGTAAATTACTTGCTATTTTTCTCATTGTTTCTTGTAAATATATGTTGATGACGATGTCAGAGTTCTCTAAAATGGTTTTGGTGATTGGTATATCCTATGAAGGCTAGACCAAAAATGCTCCCAATTACTATCATGAACAAGGATTTTAATCTGTACCACAATATCGTACATAACTCAATTGTGCTACCTCTAACTTTACACGAAACGACCACCAGAGCCAAGTCAATGAAAACTTTTGATATGAATTGCATGATATTTCATAAGATGCGAATTAACAGAATCCACTTTAATAGGGAACATACACACTAATGGAATCTGTCGAGGTTTTGGGTCTGGTGGCTGGCTGAGTGCATTTATGACTAGTTTTTAGGTTGATATGATTGGATATGGATATTTAATCCAAGGGGTTCACTAGGTTGATACGACTGAAAACAAGGAGGTTATAGGCTGCATGAAAGAAGATTCAAGCTAGTTCGTGTAGTTTAACAAGCAATATCACATATAAGGAATCTATATCTTGAAAGCAATCAGTATTGGGCTTGGGTTCTAATTTAATTTTTAATCATGTATTGGTGAATAGTATTGTTCCCTAGAGTGGCAGTAGAAATTAGATGTTGGCGGAGCAATATAAACTATATTTGGTGAATAATAGGTCTCATTTAGGTGTGGTGGATCCTAATATCTAGTCACAGATTGCCAATGAGAATACCAATCAGTAGAAAAGACTTCCATATGAATCCTTGAACGAGTGCTGTGGAAATTTCTCAATTACTCACTTTGAGCTTCTTGTTTTACCTTGCAATTAGCATATATGTGTATTTGCACGTGTTTCTCAGTCAGTCAGCACTTCTTCCAGTATCATCAGTTCATTATGATACTCATATGTACGGAGAACTATAACAAAATATTAGTTATGACTTTAGTGAGTTTTTTTATCGAGTTAGACTTCTTGTTTCAGTGAAGTACGGGTTGAAGGATTGGAGACAATGGATTACCTTGACAACCTGAAGGGAAATGAACGTTTCACAGAACAAGGAGATGCTCTTACTTTCGAATCTGAGGTGACTAGAAAGCATAGAATTATTAGACTGCTACTCTTTGTACCATTTGAGTCTAACACCTTTTGCCTTGTAAAAAGGTGGACAGAATTTATCTGAGTACACAAAACAGGATTGCGATAATTGATCATCAGAAGAGAAGGACGATAGTCTTGCATAAAGAGGGGCTCCCAGATGCTGGTGAACCTCTGTCTTCATACTTGCCTCTTTCTTTTGCTTCTACTATCTGGAAGGCTACTATTATAACTAGAACTAGTTCGTCTTATTTTCCTATTATCTTTGGAGATCCTAATCATCAATTTACTGAAAATAACTCTGAATTTATAAGTATTTAATTCAATATTCTCAATGGCACATACTTATATTGTTCTCTGCAGTGGTATGGAATCCTTGGGATAAGAAGGCGAAAGCCATTACAGATTTTGGACGTGATGAGTACAAGCGCATGATATGCATAGAGGGTGCCGCTGTCGAGAAGCCTATCACTCTGAAGCCTGGTGAAGAATGGAAAGGAAGTCAGGAATTTTTTTCTGTTCGTTCCAGTTACAATAGTGGGGAGTTGGATCCTCAAAAGGTTCATAGCTAAAGATAATCTACACACAAGGTGCACATACTGTACAGGTATTCTTCCATTATAATCTGGCCATCCATTTACTAGTGAGTGACAAATAATGTTGTTTTCAGCAATTTGTTATATTCTACACCTACAATATGTTGCAGATGAACATGAAGCAAGCTTTATCTGTTTTTACGGACTTCATAACATAGCCTTCTTTTATTTATCAATATTTGTAATATAATGGATTTTAGATGTTCGTCTTGTTCCAATTGAAGAATAGCTTTTAGCAGAGTCATTTTTATATAGTTCTATTCTTTTATTAGGGGCCCTTTCATTTTCCTTTCTACCTTATTTGATCCAGAATAACCAACATGATTGTTGATATTTGCAGGGCATATAACAACATCTACTAATTGATGCTTTTGTTAGCAAGTATTCCTGCTCTTGGTTCTCTCTCTCTCGCGCGCGCACGCGCACACACACACTCTCTCTCCCCCTTCATTTTCCTTCTCTTTCCCGTGAATTCATTTCTTGTATTCTTTTCTTCTAGAAAGTCGAAGAGATTCCAGCAACATAATTTTTTGCAGAATAACAGTGCTCTATGTTGATGTATAGATGGTTTGTGGAACATGGTGAAAATGAGAACTGATTAAGGAATGCGAAATTGAAATTCCCTGTGTTTTTCGATGAAGAATGTGAACTCATGGGGGGTGCATTCTCTGTGAGGGCCTGATGAGCTATTTGAAAGCTATACTCCTGTCGTGTGGATTTTTTATGCTTCATGCTAATAAATTGATTTGATATACTTGTGGATTTTTTATGCTTCATACTAATAAGTTCCTGTTATGTACATCTTGGGAACCTTTACTGATGGTTAATAGCCGGACTCCTCGACGATGCATCCAGATTTACTGATGGTTAATAATTTCAGTAGAGTATTGATCGAGAGAACAAATTGTTTCTTCTTAAGATTTAAAAGAAACGGAGAGAACTGGTATATCTCTCCCTTTGTGTACTCCTCTTCCTCTTGACGTGTAGCTGGCGACCGAAAAAGAGCTTCATCTGATCGATCTGTGCGGCTCTCAATTGAATTCCCGCGCAATTTCATGCCAATTCTGATACTTTTTCTTTTGAAAGCGTCTCTGTTTGTTTTCACCAAAATCTTTCTTCGACTATTGAACTTCGTCCCGGCGTTTGTTTTACCCCCCGACATTAGCAAAGAAGGTGGAGGCGTGCTCAATTCTCCATTAACTTCCGGGGTTTCCCCCCTTCGTGTGCCGCACACCTCCATGATCAAACTTATTAGGAAACTCTTTTGCATAATTATTTAGAAACAAACACAAGGATTGGAAGAAGGCAAGAGTGGAGCCAACTACTTCAACAACAATAGCAGCAGCAGCAACAACAGTCATGGTAGCGATCATACACCGTTTGAAGCTCAACTGACGCGCAAATCACGGATCTTTTGCGATCAAACCTCGAATCCAAGGCGAAGCTCTACAAGGAGCCATCTCCGAACAACATATCCTTGATGAGCAACGGAAGGTAGGTACATCGTTGAGGAGATCAAGGGTTCACCGGAGATCAAAGAGGGAAATAATTACCTCTAGCATGAAAGGATGAAATTAGCAATCTTTGGATGTTAATTCGACAAATCCGAAAATAAAATTAAAAAAAAAACAAACTATCTCTTTGGAAGGAGGAACTTTAAGGGATCCAGAATAAAACCAACCTTGAGTGCCCATTTTCAAAATCCTGATAAATCGATCCGAAGTAGTCGGCAAACTGCTGCAATTTGATTGGTCCGGCTTGGATTCTACTGTTTATTAGATTCCGTTCACCGACCGGTTTTGTGTTCATCATCACAGTAGGAGATAAGTGGGCCTTACATTTGCGGAGCCTTTTGGGTTTTTACGGTGGCCCAATTCCCTCTCAAAAGATTGGTACCCGGAAACGAGTCCGAACTGCTAAGCAGGTTCGGGTTCACCGCACGTGATACGTTGGACACGCGTGAAGGTACCATTCGATCCACACCTCCGCACTGCCCTATAAAAACCCCCGAGTGAACCCTAGAAACGAAGCGAAATCCCCTCTCGCCGCTGCCGCCGGCTTTTCCCCTTCCTCTCCTCTCCTATGTATTATTTATCTCTTTCCTTGAGTTTTCTCTTCTTTTTTTTTAAAAAAAAAAGTTACGTCTTGTTTTATTTCGTAATTATTAAGTGATCGATCGATGGCTCCAAATAAAAAAGAGTCAACAGCGGTCGCTGATCAATTGGCGATTGACTGCCGCATGGCGCCTAGAGTGAAGGCCAGACGAAGATGGCTTTGGATTTCTCCCTTTAATCCTCTGCCACAATTTCTGGCCACAATTTTTTTTTAATTTTTTTTTACAATAAATCTTACGATCGATTGGCTTTTAGAGTATATAGAGAAGATAGAAATTAGTGTGGGGAAAAAAAAGAAGAAGAAGAAAGGCACTAATTCAGACAACGGGGGCTTTGTTGAATCGATGACAGGCTACCTTTTGCATAGTGCCCACATTGATTTCTGCTGCTTCTTTCACGATTGTTGGGTGTGCTTCTTTTATACAGCCCCCTTCAAATTTGAAGCGGCTACATTTTCTTCAAATTGATTTCACTACGAATTATGTTGATCTACCATCAGTATATTATAGCCCTTTATACCGGAGGTATTTTCCTTTTTCTAAAGCCACGTTCGTTTACGAACCTGCTTGAACATTATGGTGAATGGTTTTCACGGTGGCCATGTTGTTGACTTTAATTTATGAACTAAAGGGGGGTGTTTTTTCATTCTGGACGTTTAATAAAAGTTACGCTTTAGATTTCAAATGTTTTATGGCTTTTTATTGTGTGGCTTTTGCCAGTGCGGACGGTTTGGAATTGGCTTTTCGGTAGTGAGATGTCACCATTGATCAACAAAAGAATGAGAGCAATAGAAATGAAGGGGAGTGTGGTTGGTGGTGTGGTAGGGGGTGTGTCCCTAACACTAGGGCTGGGCGTATTCGGTTCGGTTCGGTTTTAAGTCCAATCCGCATCCAATCCAAATTTTTCGGATTCTCAAAACTCTTATCCAGATCCAGATTTTTTCCCCTTCATCCGAATATTCGGCCCAACCGAAATTCGGATCGGTTTTGGTTTTGAACCGAATTAACTTCATTTCACAAAAATTTGCTCACACGGCATTGTAAACAATATTATGGAGAAAGCATAAAAGCATAACTACTTCATTATATCAAAACATGCATGCTACTGATGTTAATCACAGTAATAATTGCGTATGATCACCTTAAACACATATAATATACGTTCATGATGGTAACCTGATAAATCTACAGTAATGAGAAGAATAAAATTCCCTTCAACATTTAGTAAACATGATGTGAAGGTGGGAAAACCATTCTTGATAAACTTGAGTCTAGCCTTAGTTATGAACAGATGCAGTTCATATTTGACTACCTTGTCATCACGGTACAAAGTGTGCACAATACCATAGCTAGGTGGTACTCACAAATATAGAAATCATGATATCCGATAAAAGACAACATAAAATTTAAGGCTGCAACTTACTAGTATTATTAAAACTAAAACTCATCAACGTCAATAGTGCAATACCTTGGATCTAGAACAACTGCAATGAGAAGTTGGGAAGAAAAATAATACCTTGGATCTAGAACAACTGCAATGAGAAGTTGGGAAGAAAAATGGAGTTAGGGTTAGGGATTTTTTAGTATTTGTATTAGAGAAAACTGCAATGAGAAGTTGGGAAGAAAAATGGAGTTAGGGTTAGGGATTTTTTAGTATTTGTATTAGAGAAATCGGTTTGGTTTTTTCGGGCGGTTCAGGGGTTCAAACCGAATCCGGACCGGTTTAATTTGGTTCGGGCGGTTTAGAGTCTTCTTCTCATCCATTTAATCCGGTTCCTTTTTTCGGGCGGTTTTTTCGGTTGAACCGGTTTTTTTCGGTTTTTGCCCACCCTTACCTAACACCACTCTTATTTAAAAAACATAAAACCCTGTAGCTGGAAGAGGGGTGTGGTTGGAAGTGTGGTTTAAAGGTGTGCCATTAGTGTTTTCCAGAAATGAAAGCACAGGTGATAACAAAAAACATCAATTGATTAAAGATACAGGGCATCAACACTATTCATGAAGAATTAGCCTAACATGTCAATGGTAAAGCTGTCATTTGTCTAATTGGACTTGGTATAAAGACCAATCAGGATTGAGTGACAATAATTAGAGAAATGGACAAAATTTTAAAATAGACTCGTTTACAATTTTAATCTAAAAAAAAGTCCCATTTCCAAAATAATTATGAAAATTGATCCAGTTTTAGCCACGCCATCAATGTAGATTGTGAACATTGACTATTTTAAAATGTAGTTCAAACTAGTTGGGGTTGGTAGCCCCAACAATTTTGATTTACAATTGCCATTGGTGGAGTGCCATATTGGGTTTGCAGTTGATCGGATCAGAGTCTGTAGTTGATCGGATCAGAGTCAGATATGCGTCGTATTGACCATGCTCCTCCTCTCCCTTATTGTCCTCCACTCTCGCCTCTCCCTCCCCTCTCTCTTCTCCTCATCCAATTTACAACCCTACAGTCCATCTTCGATCCCTTCAACGATACTGACAACGACACATTTCGATGGCCTCCCCGATGATTATCGCATCGACGTCCTCCACCTCGTCAGACCCTTGACAATGACAACAAACCAGATTCCGATGACGATCTGTAAAATTCCAAACCCGAACCTAGTTCCAATGCATCCACCCTCATTTGCGATCATGTTCTTAGAGTTCACCATCGATCTTTTTGGTAAGGTCGACGTGGAGTCAGATCCTAATCCAATGAGGGAAGTTAGGGTTAGAAGGAGGTTCGAGGGGAGGAGGAGATGAGAGCATTTACCGATGATGAGTTTAAAGGTTTAGAGCTCAGGATCTGGTTGGAAAAAATCCCTTTCTGGTTCTAATCTAGGAAGAAGAAGAAAAAAAGGAGAGTAAAGAGTCACGTGGCTGCTTTTTGTTGGCTTGTGGGACTTCTTTGGACCTCAAAATAGTTGAGGTTGTTGACCCTAACTATTTTTAACTATAGTTATTGGTGTCTATAAATCCCTTCTCTAATTAGTTGGGGGATTAGTAATCCCGACTAATTATAAAACACTATTTTCTTCAAAATCGATCCAGTTTCAATCTGTGCTGTTGACGTAGCCGAAATTGGATCGCTTTTTGTAATTATTTTGAAATGAGTCGATTTGGGAGATTATAATTACAAATGGGTCTATTTTTAAAGTTTCTCCTTTGAGAAATACAAGTCTCTCTTTTGCCAACAACAAAGAGGATTAGACACATTCTAAAGCTATAAATCCTCCAGCAGATCGTGATTAACCAATTGTGAGAACCTATATCACCAATAAATCTGCTACCATGAGCAAAATACTTGCTCTTAACGAAGAATCCACAAAACTTGTATATCGTGTATGTAGCAATTTCTGCTAGATCTGGATCCATCTTTCACGCCACTACTGTCATCCTTGAGTAGGAAGAAGATTAATAAATGAATAGGAACCTTGTAGACGGTACTAGATTTGTTGGTTCGTTGATCATGTGTGATTTAGCATTAGTGGATGTTGCCTCTTTTCTACTTGGTGGTTCAGCTAAAGCCTTCTCCGATGAATAATGATCACATCCCACAAGTGACAAGCATAACATACTATTCTTCTTGCTGCAGTGGGAGGCTTAAGAGACACAAAAGATGTCTATACAAAGTAGATAATAGCACATCACTGAATAAACATAGTAGAGACAAAGGGAACAACATAATAACGAAATTAGTTAGTCAAGTAATTCGAGCTGAGAGTCGAAGAGAGCTATGATCAGTGGGTCAAGGAAACATTGTGGTGTTCCACGTGTGAGGATCAATAATTAAAGGATCACATACAAACTAATATGCTAAATTACCATATTGGTATTTTTATTCGACCATGTTTGTCAGTTTGGTATATTTAAAAAATCCGACAACAACAATGTACTTTTTTCTTGGCCTTTTAGTTAATAAGGCCCATTCTTCCCGCCGGCGACCAAAAACCAACTGCGAGTGACTCACGTGACGCTCACGTGACAAAATTAATGCTGACACGGCAGGATGTTAATGACGTGGCTAGTTAATTGAAAATCTCCTCTTCCCCACTCACGCTCAAATTGGGGACGAAATAGAAATTAGGGTTTGAGATCATGCTTGCTCCCCTTTCATTCAGATCTTCAAAAACTAGGAAATCTAATTCAAATAAGTGGCAGCCCCAACAATAACATAGCCTCGTCAAAGCTCAAGTTCATGTTCAAACCGGAATAGATCTGGAGGAGTAAACCTTAGGCATAGTTTCGTTTTCAACAATTTGTGTTGTAATAAGAAATGGAATGAAGCAGCAAAGAGATACGGGGTAAACATTTTGTTGTCGCTGAATTTTTTAAATATACCAAACTGACAAACATGATCGAATAAAAATACCAATTTGGTAAATATATCCAAACTAGTGAGTAGTTTACGGAGAAAAACAGAAGCTTAGGTACTGTTTGGCAACCAAAAAAAGTGTCTTATCTAAGAGCTTGTGTCTTATTGACTTGGTCAATAAGCTAGTAGAGCTGTTTGGTAACCAAAAATAGGAGGAGATTATTTTGGAGATTGTGCCTTTTGCAAGTAGCTTTTGTAAAGCTATCTCAAGTAGCGTTTGTCTTTGGGAAGGAGCTGTCAATTTTTTTCTTCTGTTTTTGCCCCTAATAATTCTAATTTTATATCAATAATATTGCATGACCTTTTTAGTCATTTAACAAATTTAAGCTAGTTGTACAGCTTCTTTTGCCAAATAGCTCTAGTCAATCAGCTAGTTACACAGCTATCAGCTTTCAGCTATAATTTCACAGCTTTTAGCTAGCTTGACAGCTTTCAGCTATAATCTCGCAGCTTTCAGCTAGTTTTGCCGAACAGAGCCTTATTCGATCGTTAAAGTTGCTGCTACGCTCTCTCGATCTCGATCTATCGATCTCTCCCCCCCTCCCTCCCTCGATGCCCAATGCCGCTCTCAGTACTCTCTCCCAACTCATCCGGCTTTAAAAGGTGCAGCACCTCCTCCACATTACCCTGCTTGGCTCTTCTCCTCCTCTTCCCTTCTCTCCTCTTCTTCTCTCAGAGATCCCTCCCCCCTCGCGTCATTCTTCCGCCGGCAAGATCAGCCCCAGTCCGGAGAGATCGGCGGCGGCGCTCCACAGAAACGACCACCTCAGCCCCGGGATCTCCTCGACGTCGATCAGGCGGTCGAAGAGCCAGGCGATGGATCTGCGAGGGAGATCGACGGCGGGCCTCGTCGGCCCCATCCGAATCCCTCCCCCCCTCCCCATCCTCCGCCGTCGTTATCGGCCAGCGAGGAGGAGCTTCCGGCGGAGTCGGCAACCCCGTCAGCCCGGCGGCACCCGAGGAGGAGGAGGAGGAGGGAGTTCTGGGGTGAGGGGAAGGGGGAAGGGCGGGTGTAATTTGTACGAAGGGAGGTGGGTGAAGGATGAAGAGGGGAGGTATCCTCTGTATGAGCCCGGATCTTGTCCTTACGTGGATGATGCCTTCACATGCCAAGAGAATGGGAGGGAAGATAGGGATTATATGAAATGGAGGTGGAAACCCAACGGCTGCGAGCTCCCGAGGTTAGTTAACAATCTCTACTTTGCTTCTCTCTCTCTCTCTTTGGGTGGGGGGTTCCGTCTTTGTCATGAATGTCTTAATGCTGGCATCGCTTACTTGCTTCAGTACTCTATGTTTCTCTGTTCATCATCTTGTAACTATAATAAGTAGAAGTCCACAAATTGATCATTTTTCACCAAATCACAAATTGCCTTCCTCAATATGATATTTTACGTGCACTATAAACTTCTCGAGTTTCAACGTACTATATACTTCCTATGATTTCAGCTGTTTTCTTTCTAATCACAGCTTGTCGCCTCTCATAAAATATGTTGTGTGTACTCCAATATAAGCTTATGATTCTGGTTGTTTTTGACCCAATGACAAACTTTCATTCCATGTAGTTTATTTTATGCGTACTCTAAAATTCCCCAATTCCTGTGAAATATAATCCATGATCGCGGTCTTTCTGAAAGAAGTTCACAAATTGCATTCCCACATAATATTTTACATATACTCCATAAAAATTCTGTGGGCTATATAACTCATGCTGGTTGTCTTTGCCTAAATCACAAACTGCCGTCCCCAGAAAGTATTTTCTACATAATCCGAAATCTTCAATTTCTATAGTTGTAGTCGCCCACAACTGACTTACAAGTTGTCTTCCCCCAATGTATTTCATATGTACTAAAAAATTCTGAATTTCTGTGAACCGTAACCCATAATTTTTGTTGTTTTTAACAAATCACAAGTTATTGTCCCATATTTTATGTGTACTGATTTTTTTAAAAAATTTTGTGTACTATAAAACCCATGGTTTTGTCCGTTCTGACAAAATCACAAATCGTCGACCTGCATAGAGTAGGGTATTTTAGAAGTACTCAAAAGTTTCTGAATTTTTGTGGACTTTAACCCCTGATTTTGGTCATTTTTAGAAACAAATTTATCCTCCTGCATAAAGAATTTTATATGTACACCATAATTCTCAAATTTCTGTGATTATGGTCATTATCGACCAAGCCGCATATTGTTGCCCCTTATAGAGTAATTTATATGTACTAAAAAATTTCTAAGTTTTTTTGAACGATAACTTTGTAATTTGTTTTTATCTGGCAAAATCACAAAATATCATCATGCACTGGGTATTTTATATGTACTCCAAAAATTTTGAATTTCTGTGGAATCTATGATTTTGGTCGTTTTCAATAAACTCACAAATTGTTGACCCATAATTAGTATTTTACTCAAGTTTTTGAATTTTATGAGCTATAACCCTTGATTTTGCCAATTTTGGCAAAAATCACAAATTATCGTCCCACATATAGTTTTTTTTATGCAAACTCCAATTTTTTTTAGTTTCTGTGAATTATATAACCCATGATTTTGATCGTTTTCGACAAAACCGTAAATTATCATTTCTCATAGAGTAGTTTAAATGCACTCCCACATTTCTGAATTTCTATATAGTGTGGACTATAACCCATAATTTTGGCTATTTAAAAAAAATATCTCAAATTATCATCCCACAAAGTATTTAATATGTACTCCAAAATTTCTGAATTTCTTGAGACTAACCCATGATTTCGGCCGTTTTGGACAAAATCACAAATTATTGACCCACATACAATATTTTTTGTATATACTCAGAAGTTCCTAATTTTTATGGACTATATAGCCCTTGATTTTAGCCATTTTTGACAAAATACAAATTTCTAAGTTTTTGTAGACTATAACCCATGTTTTGGTCGTTTTTGACAAAATCATCAGTATTCAGACCACCTAATACCACATAAAGTATTCCATATGCAACCAAAATTTTCAGAATTTTTATGGATTATAGCTCTTGATTTTAGCCTTTTTAATAAAATCATATATTTTATGCATACTCTAAAATTGCTGAATTTTTATGGATTGTAACCCATGGTTCTGGTGATTTTTTGATAAAATAACAAGATATCATCTTGCATAGTGTTTTTTACATGCTTCCAAGATGTCTTAAGTTTTTGTGGGTGGACTATAACCTATGATTTTAGCCATTTTTGATAAAATAAAAATCATCGTCCCACATACTCTAAAAGTTTTGTTATTTTGCGTACTATAACCCATGATTTTGATCGTTTTTACAAAATTAGAAATTATGACCAACATAGAGTATTTTATGTGTACTCAAAAGGTCCTGAATCTATATCAACTGCCACCCATGATTTTGGTTGTTTTTGACAAAATCAAAATTCTTGTCCCGCATTGAGTATTTTATGCATATTCCAAAATTTCTAAATTTTTTTGGTCTTTTAACCCATGATCTTGGCTATTTTTGACAAAATCACAAATTATCATCCTGCGAAGAGTACGTTATATGTACTCTAAATTTTTGTTGTTTAGCGGACTATATTCTATGGTTTTTGTTGATTTTTATATAATCACAAATTATTCGACCAACGTATGGTATTTTATATGTACGCAAAAGTTTCTAAATTTTTATGGACTACAACCCTTGATTTTGGCTGTTTTTTACTAAGTCACATATTATCATCCCTATAGAGTATTTTATATGCACTCCAAATTTTCTGAATTTCCTTGGAGTTTAGACTATAATCTATGATTTTTGTCATTCTCGATAAAATCACAACTTATTGGCTCATATGGAGTATTTTATATGTAGTCAAAAGGTTGTTAATTTTTATATACTATAACCCATGATCTTGGTTGTTTCTTTAAATTGACAAATTATAGACCAACATAGAGCATTTTATTCATACTTCAAAATTTCTGAATTTATGTAGACTATAACCAAAGAAATTGGCAGCTCTCAACAAAGTAAAAAATGGTCATCCTACAGAGTTTTTTATATGCACGCGAAAGTTTTTGAATTTCTTTGGAGTTTGGACTATAAATTATAATTCTAGCCATTTACGATAGAATCACAAATTATCAACCCACATAGAGTATTTTATATGTACTCAAAAGTTGTAATTTTTATAGATTATATAACCCATGAATTTAGTTGTTTTCAACAAAATCACAAATTATAGCCCTACATAAAGTTTTTTACGCATATTCCTAAATTTTAAAATTTCTATGTCCTATTTCCCATTTTTGGCTATTTTCGACATAATCACAAGTTATTATCCCGCATAGAATATTTTATTTGTACTCCAAAATTTTTGAAAATTTTTGGTCTATAAACATTAAACAATCATTTTTTTGACAAAATCACAAATTTTTGTCATGCATAGAGTATATTATATGTACTCAAAAATTTTGAATTTTTTGAGGATTAATACATGATTTTGCCCGTTTTCAACAAAATCATAAATTATCAACCCACATATAATTTTTTTACATATACTAAAAAATTTCTAAATTTTCCATGGTCCATAAACCTCAACCATTTTTGATAAAATTACAAATTATTGTTCCGCATAGTGTATTTTATATGTACTAAAAAGTTTCTAATTTTTTGTGAACTATTGACCGTTTTCGGTAAAATCACAAGTTATCATCATGCATAGAGTATTTTACATGCACTTCAAAATCTTTGAAAATTTGTGGATTGTGGACTATAACCTAGAATTTGACTATTTTTGACAAAATAAAAAATTATTGTCTTGCATAGAGTATGTTCTATGTACTCCATTATTTCTTCATTTTTGCAAACTATAACTGACTTGCATAAATTATTTTATATGTACTCAAAACTGTTTGAGTATTTATTGACTATGACCCATGGTTTTAGTCATTTTTGACAAAATCGCAAATTATTCTTGCATAGAGTATTTTATGAATACTTTAAAATTTCTTAATCTCTATGAGTTATAACTTATGAATTTGGTTGATTTCCACAAAATTATGATTTATCATTGGGCATTAAGTATTCTATAGGTGATTAAAATTTTCTGATTTTCTGCGAACTATAATCTATGATTTCGGCCATCATTTGACAAATCACAAATTATTACTGTGCATATAGTATTTTATGTGTACTCTAAATTTCGTGAACTACAACATGTTATTTTTGCTGTTTCAACTAAATCACAAATTATCATCTCGCATAAAATATTTTATCTGTACCCCAAACTTAAAGAAGTTTTGTGGACTAACCATAATTTTGACTGTTTTCAATAAATCACAAATTATTGATCGGCATAGAGTATTTTGTATGTACTCAAGTTTTTGAACTTTGTGGACTATAACCCTTGATTTTGGTCGTGTCTGACTAAATCACTAAGTATCATCCTAAATAGAGTATTTTATGCGTACTCTAATTTTTTTTGAATTTTTATGGACTATAACCCTTGATTTTTGTCGTGTCTGACTAAATCACTAAGTATCGTCCTAAATAGAGTATTTTATGCGTACTCTATTTTTTTGACTTTGGCTATTTTTGTTAAAATCACAATATTGTCCCGCCTAAATTACTTTATATGCACTCCAAAATTTCTTAATTTCTTTGGAATGTGGATTATAACCCATTATTTTGGTCGTTCTTGACTCACAAATTATCCATCCGCATAGAGTATATCTTATATGTACTCAAAAGTTTCATAATTTTTATAGACTATAACCCATGATTTTGGCTGTTTCAACAAAATCACAAATTATGCATACAACAATTTTATGCATTCTTCAAAATTTCTAAATTTATAGGCCTAAAACCATGACTTTGATTGTTTTCGACCAAATCACAAATTATTACTGCACATAAAGTATTCTATATGTGATCAAAAGTTTAATTCAGTGGATGAAAACCCATGATTTTGGTTGTTTTCGACAAAATCACAAATTATCTTCACGCATAAACTACCTTATATGTACTCCAGAAGTTTTGAATTTCTAAGGACTCTAACCCATAATTTTGGACGTTTTCAGCAAAACATAAATTATTAACCAGCAGAGAGTATTTTGTATGTACTCCATTGTTTCTGTTTATTTTTTGTGAATTGTAAACCATGATTTTTGCCATTTTTGCAAAACCACAAATTGTCAACCCTCATAAAGTATTTTATGTGTACTCAAAACTTTC